TGGAATGTCATTCAAACTCTTTGCATGATGTGTTCACTGACACTTGCACACTTCCTACAGTTATTTTTGGACTCTAAATACATTTCACAGTTTGAGTAATCATCAGTCATTGCTGAGTGTGTGTTTCTCTCTTGCATGTGAGAATATGTTTTTTGCAGTAGGCATGTTTTATGAGCACTGCAGAGCAACCCCTCTCTTGCTCTCCAGGGGTTAGTATGAGATTGGGAGTGTGCCGCAATAGTGTTAGGACTGGGAAAACAACAACAAAAAATCAAATAGAGGGATAGTAGTAGTATGTTGTATATAGAGATATAAAGAATTTCTTTTCTAAACAATAAGTGATAGTGCTAATGTGTTCCCTTCAAGTAAATATGACACTTTAGCAAGCCAAGTTACAACTAGAAAGGTAGGAGCTGCTGCTCTTTCTGCCACTCAGAATATGGTCAGTAAGATTTGTTTAAAAGAAATAATTTTATTGTGTAAGTATGCATCAAATTGATCAAAAGTGACAGTAAAACATTTATAAAGTTACAAAAGATTTGTATTTCAAATAAATATTGTTCTTTTGGATTTTATATTCATCACAGAACGACTGTTTTCAACATTGAGCTGTTTTCATATTGATAATCAAATAAGAAATGTTTCAGCAGCATATTAGAATGATTTCTGCTGGATCATGTGACACTGAAGACAGGAGTAACTGCTAAAAAATCGGCAGAAACAAATTACATTTCTAAATATATTAAAATAGAAATGAGATATTTTAAATTGTAATATTATTTCACAATATTACTGTTTTTACTGTATTTAGTTATTTATTTTTTTTGCTGTATTTTTTTTTACTGTATTCTGTATCAAATAAACATAGTTTTCATAAACTGACACAAAACGTTTGAACAGTAGTGTACATTGAAATTGAGAATGGGGGATGCAACCGCAGCAATGCTCAAGAAACCACCTAGAATATCTTGGCAGCCACTCAAAATTAAATTTTAAAAAATATAATTTAAATATTTAACTTAAATTATGTTTGAAAACATCATATCTGGGACTAAGTGAGTGAATTTCTTCTTCTGACTCTCTTACAGCAATATCACACCCTTTTTTCTTCTCTTCTGATTTTTATGAATGTTTTCTTTTTGGATAAATTCTCTTATCTCTCATCTGATATTTCTTTTTGTCATTGCTTCACTTTCCCATACCTTTTTATTTCTCTGTCTTCTCTCTGCTTCTTTCCCTCCCTCTCTCTCTCTCTCTCCGCAGGTTTTAATGACCTCTCTCTCTCTCTCTCTCTCTCTCCGCAGGTTTTAATGACATATCTCTCTCTCTTTCTCTCTCTTTTTGCTCCACATGGTAGTTCGTTACCCTGGCTTTGTGTTCTCAGTTCTGATCCACTTACAACCATTTGCGTCCAGTCTGTCCCCTGCAGGGTGGGTGAAGCTAATTTAAGTTCTTTGCTTTTACCCCTCCATACCTCCTCCCCCGAACTTTCTCTCTCTTTCTCCTGTCTGCTGTCGCTTGGGTACGGTTTGAGTTTACAATCTAAGCTCTAGAGGTTGTTGTTTTTTTTGTGATGGAGTGAATGTGGTTGGTCTCTGAGCTGAATGTGAGATCTCCCTCCCCCTAGTGACTCGGTCACCTGAGTTTGGATTCAGCCAATTATTTGGTTTGCTTGACTGTCGGACCATCAGCCCCCAGAAAGCCTGATAAATGTAGCCAGCAGACGTTGGATTCTACACTTTCAACACAGACACACGCTCACACACACACACAGTAGGGAGACTATTGTGTCCTGTATCTGGAAAAAGAGAATCACTTTTTTCTTATTCAGGTTTCCTATTATGCAGGGATATTTTTTAATCCCCTTTCTCACACAGATTTTTCAGTTTCAAAGTAAGCTGCTTTACTAAAATGATTATTCTAAATGGAAACAACTTGCTAGGTGCAAACGTAGACAGAATAAAACATTAAAATTGATTGGTATTATTACCATGAACTGCCCTAAAACATGCTGCATTAATTTTTAGAAGAAGATAAAGGATCTATACAATGGTTTCATGCACTTGGCATGCAATAATTTAACAAACTGTTTTTGAAGTCATATGAACAACCAGTTGGTAATCATACAGATTTAAATTTCACAAACTTTAAGTACACAAAACTTGTTTTATTTTAAGATTGACGTCACTGAAAGTAATGATAACTTGAAGTTTAAATGAGTCCGATGCAGTGTTGGGGAAAGTTACTTTTAAAAGTATTGCATTACAATATTGCGTTACTCCATAAAAAAAGTAACTAATTGCATTACTTAGTTACTTTTTATGGAAAGTAATGCATTATGTTAGTTTTGCATTAGTTTTTGTCACCTGAGCTGGGCTTGCTTATGTATTTTAATAACATTAAACCAGCTGTATTAGCTTACAGCATTTTAGCAGCTGTAAAGGCCATTTCACAAGTAACTTGCATTACTTGTAATGCGTTACCCCCAACACTAGTCAGATGTTAACTCGGTAACCACTCTTGACTGATTCAGTCAGGCTCATTCAGTGAAAAATTTGTCAGACTGATTTAAACTGGTAACTTGTGAGTGTTTTTGAGTTTTTCCTTAAAAGAACCACTCAAAAGAGTCATTTGCTCTTGAATTGGACTGCACTGGTAATGTATGATTTTTCTTTCTTTCCAAACCACTTAAGCACAAATCCCATCCCACAGCCAATTCAACTCACTCAGCCACTTGTCAAGAAAAGTTCAAACTTCATGGATTCAGTTCAAAGTTCAGAAAGATGGATCTCACGACAAACAGTAATGCTATCTATCAGGATGTACTACCAAACACTAAGGTTAAGGTTAGGATGCAGGTTAAGGTTAAAGGATAGTATTTGTTTCAGCATTGTGTAGGCTAATTGCCTATTTGATTGAGATAACCAATGAAATGACGCTTTGATTGACATGACCAGTGAAATCTGAAAAAATGAATTGTCTGTGGGTGAATTTGCTGGTTTGAGAAAAAAATAATACTGATCATGTTTTTGATTCGCTATAAATAACTGCCTTATATGAATAATTTGTTTGTGAATTAGACTAACATGGGTGTGCTGTATGTTTTATTTTGCGTGCAGCTCATGAGAACAGTTCAGAAGAAAGACATGTTTGTATTTTTAACATTTTATTGATATCTAGCATTCCACCATATAACACACACACGTTTCACATTAATAACAGACACATTAATTCCCACAAACACAGTGTATATCTGTGTCAGAGATGTCTGACCGGCTCTGAATGAGTGGAATGCTTCTCACAGTTTCTCTGAGAGGTCAGCGCTTTGACATTCCATTAGAAATGTGCTACAGATAGGCTACTGGGTAACCAGAGCAGTAACACACAGAGACAAGGTTCTGGCTCTCTGTGTGTCCCCACTTTGTGGCTTCTCTCTGCCCCTTCATGCCTTTTACTGTCCCATTTCCATCCTTTTCTGAGCAAAGCCTCAGTGGCGTGACAGAGTTTGAATCAGTGTTTCAGAAGCAGCTGAGTGAGGAATCTGTCTTTATTCTTTGTCTCTGTCTTTCTTGGGCTGTGTTTTGTGAGGATTTAGGCTTTTGTTAGGCCCCTGGTCAAGGCTTGTTTACATTAGAGCTCCTTAGAATGTCCTGACAGACTCGCAAGAGGCTCTACTATCCTTTCAGGCCTGAAATATTTCACACACTAAACAACCAGCCACCCTCAACCAGACACTTTTACATGCTATGACCAGCTCTTTACCTGCTCTAATCTATCTGTATCTATCTATCTATCTATCTATCTATCTCTGTCTGTCTGTCTGTCGGTCGGTCGGTCGGTCGGTCTATCTATCTATCTATCTATCTATCTATCTATCTATCTGTCTCTGTCTGTCTGTATTTATCATTCTATCTATTTATCGTTCTATCCATAGTTTTGACTATCATTCTTTCTGTGTGTGCATATACTTCTACAATATGGGTTGATGTGATTTCTAAAAAAATTTTACATTCATGTAGTAAACATGCAGTATTTATGAGATCATTTTAATCAAGTCATTAATATAGAGAGGAATATTTGTACTTGAAAACATCTATTTGTCAGTTTAAATTAACTGAATCTTATTTGTCAACTACCTTTTTACTCAAGTTAATTGAATTAAAAACAAGAATGAAATTATATCTGTGATCAAAATGTTTGCGGATGCTGATAATCTTAAAATGGCATGCTGTAGGCTGATTGATCTTCTCCAGTGATCCATTAGTTTGTCAATAAAGGAGATCCTTATGAAGCCTTTATGAGTTCAGGGGTGTTGTAGAAAAAAAGTGCCTGTAGAGATAATTAAACACAGCTAGTCTTGCATTTATTGTTCTGCATATTTCTCTTTTGTTTGTTTGAGAAATGTTTCCATAAGGATAGGCCTCAGTATAGTTTATTTGCTGTTTGATAGTGGGTACTGTAAGTTCTCTTCCTGATCTCTCTGTCAGGATTTACATCACGCTCTGTTCTTTCTCTCTCTCTGGCTGTGACACTGGCTGATTTGTTTGAGTGTTGTTGTTTTAGCCAGCTGACACACAATAGCCATGTTAACCTCCATTCTCTGCCCACTCATGCAGCTTTGTGTAGTAATGTAACGTTCACGGGTGCTCAGTGTTTCTTCTCTTACACATGACTGATGTGTCATTCACTCTAGATATGACTTCATTCACAGTACAGCTATCCTGCATCTTGTGTATATACTTATGTCATACCGAAAAGTTATACATTGTGGTATCTTTCGTCAAGGTTTGACAAACTGGACATTTGAAATAATGATTTAACAATATTAATAATCACCTTATCTTTCTCTCTCCTCTTCTCATTGCTCCCTGTGTCTGTCCTTCTGTGATTTTTGTTTTCTTTCTCTTGCATGTCTTTTTGTTATCATGTACTAACACCTCCCTCTCATTTCCTGCCCTCCATGTTTTGGTTGCTCCTTCTGTCTTCATCACTCTTGACAGAACTCAGGCAGAGATGGCCCATACGTGTCGCGGCACCATCAACCTGGCCACAGCGCACATCGACACCGAAGACACCTGCAATATTGTTCTGAGCAGTGGGGGGCGCACTTACCATCTGAAAGCCAGCACAGAGGTGGAGAGGCAGAGATGGGTCACAGCACTGGAGCTGGCCAAGGCCAAAGCCATCCGAATGATGAACGATCAGTCCGGTAAGAGCGGAAAGACTCTGAACATAGATATTTGCTTTTTTTAATTTTGTGCTTTTAAGCTGAAATTGATCGTTGCAACACTGATTTGACAAAATTTTATTTTGGACTTTTAAATTGATTGTCCATAAAATTAATTGGCGCATTGATTCATCTATAATCAACATATCACATCAGTCTTCAACGAACATTTATGTGAAGTTTCCTGGCAACAATAGGTCATTTTAAAGTTCCTTTTATAGCAAATGAGGACACTCATTTGCCATTTTGGCAAGAAGGCATCTTGTCATGTGGTTGAAAGTGTTACTTTGTAACTGGAACAGTTTAGAAATGTTCATCTGGATCCATGTTATCTCTCTGCTTAGAACTGACAACAAGGTTTTGAATGGAAAATGTCTGTACTTTTAGACAATGGCCCCACAGCCCCACTAAAACACTGTTATCAGTCTGGTAAGGTGACTGGGCTTCTTACAGAGGCTTTGCATCATGTTTGCAGGGCTGGTGTGTAGTTCAATGTTTGCAGGAAAATGCAGGGCTCAACAATAAGAATTTTTTTTGAAGAATTTTCACAGTCAGTAGATCAAATTTGTACTTGCCCTGTCATTAGATTTTCACTGGCCCCACCACAAAAAGTGTATTTTTATAAAAAGATTTGTATTTTTATTAAAAAAAAAAGATGTTTTTAATTAACTAAAGGTTTGAATAATAAATAATAAAAAATGTAAAAAGAAAGAAAATAAATCTAATGAAATTAAGCAACAAGAACTGGTAATTAACCAGCTATAATGTATTCATGACAGATATGATCATCTAGGAGACAAGGTCTTCACTGGGGATCTATAGTAATGTATTTAAATGATCAGAATTTAACAATATTCAATATATCATAGAAACCCAAATATTGAAATTTGAATATAATTTAGCTTACTGAGAATCCAGCATTGGCACAATGGGTCAGTATATAGCTCTGTCATCTGGCGTGAAACTGTCTCAGGCTGTTCAAGTGGTCCTTTTTGTTGAGCCCTGGAATTGATTGCATTTGGACTGGACTTGCTCAAACATATGGTTTTTATGGATTGTTTAGTTTGCAGTAACTGCTGTGGGTCACTGCATTGCTTCTGAGAGGTCAAATCTCTCTTTCCACTAAAGATGTCTTTGACCTGAAAAGTGAGCTGTCAAATGGATGGTATTAGTCTTTGGCCTTAATCACAATATACTGTAGATCTCTTCATGCTTCTCATTAACTGAATGCTGAACCAGGCTTGATGAGATGGGGTTTCAGGACTGCATGGAGCAAGATTTTATTGCTTATGTTTATGTAACAGTGCTATTAAAATTTTGGGATTCCAGTTATGGCCTCTAGAGGACATGTTTACATGGACTGCAAGACTCCAGCTATTTACTACTTTCAAACTGAGAGTTGGATATAAACAATGTGAAGACAACATTCATTAATCAACAACCTCAAATGCAAATGGAAATATTAATTTAATAATTTTGAGAATCTTAAGTCTTATTCGTATTGCGGTCAATGTAAATATAGCCAGTGCCTGGTTTTTTTTGCAGCTTTTTTTTTTTTTTTTTTGAAAGACAAGGCACTATTTGGTCATTCATTCAGTTAAGCTGTTGCTGCATGTGTTTAAAGATACATGGTCACTTCCTTTTAATTAAAAATATGCAAAGAAAATAATCACTCTTGTTCCAGGGCTCCCTAATACTTTAATTAAACTCTTAAGTCAAGCTCTAAATGTTATTATAGAAAGCTGTATGAATCACTAACAGAATGCGTTGTCTGTTAGTTCTTTGGCAGTACTCAGAGGTCAGAGTGGGTCAGCACGTTCGCCATGTTACAGCGCTGTCCTATATTTGAGAGCCGAAGCGCTCATCTCCTGTGACACACACAGCTGTCATTGCTCTGTGAGCTGCTGAAGCAGATGTCTTCTGCTTTTGGGTAGAACTTGTGTTTTGTGTACTCATAGCACCAGACGTTAACCATGCATGTACTTTAACACTGAAAGAATGCTTTACTGTATTTTCTGAACACGAATGAGTGTTGAATTTATTAACTTTTTGTTTAGTTATTTATTCAGTTATTTGTGTGTTGTACATGCCATTGTACAGTACTTGGCGTGTTTATACATTTATAACTGACAGTTAAAAATATCAAAAAATATTTTATAATGCATATTTTATGTTTTAATTAAAAAAATATATTTTTCATATTTTTTTATTTTGTTTTACACAGATATATTGCTAAAATTTGTATTCATCATCATATAAGTGGGATAAAGTGGGGAAAAAAGTTTCTGCTTTTAATAGGTTCACCACAAGGGGGCAGGTGTGCTCAGTTTGGCACGTGATTTCAGTTCTCATGAGAACCTAGCCAGCACTCACATGACAACAGAGCTCTTTTTTATTTCTCTCTCTAATCTCTCTTGTATGTCCGACTCTGGTCCATATGAAACCCTGGCTGGGCTCCAGCCCCCTCTCTTCATTCCATTCCAGCTGCCCACTCTTTCCTCTCACACACAAACAAACCAAGCTTTCTATTTTTGTGGAGCTGTCACATTCTGTGTGTTCTGTCTGTGCGAGTGGTATGTGTGTCAGCATAAATGAAAGATTTATTCCTCTGTGGAGTTGAATGGCAGACAGAATGCTGATGATGTTATGTGTGTTTGTGGTCAGTCCACCTGAACTCTCGAACTGGAATGATTCATTCCTATAATATCTGTGTGCCATGTATTAGCATAAATGATCAGTAATGAATCATGTTCAGAACATTAAAAATTAACCGCCAGTAAAATCACCCTGAAACATCCCCAGCTTCCACCAACTTTGACATTTCATGAAATTAAATTAATTTACATTTGAGAAGTATGATGGCAGTCCTCACAATTAACTGTAGACCCTTACAATAAAGACCACATATAGATTATACAGCTAACATAATTCCATAATACATTACAAAATTAATGTATGTATATATATATATATATATATATTACCATTCAGAAGTTTGGGGTCTGCAATTTATTTGTTAAGAAATTCAACAAAAACTGTAATATTGTGAAATATTAGAATTTAAAGGAACCATTTTCCATTGTAATATATTTATAATAATTTAGGAATAAAATGTAAGTTACTACTGTGATGGCAAAGCTGAATTTTCAGCAGCCATTACTCCAGTTTTCTGTGTCACATGATCCTTCAGAAATCATTCTAATATGCTGATTTGGCACTTTAGAAACATTTCTTATTATAATCAATGTTGAAAACAGCTGTGCTGCTTATTATTTTTGTGGAAACCATGATACATGTTTTTGTCTGTATTATATCACAAATATTGATGACCTTCTGAACTGCTCACGTAAAAATCAAGATTAAGATTCAAATAATAAGATACTACTAAACAGGAACCAAAAGATCTCAGAAATATTCTATTCAAACGTGATTTGGTCTAGACAAGATTTTCAGTGGAAAATGTGGTTGCCTTTGTCAGCCTGAGCTGTGCTGGTATATGATGATGTCAGAGTGTGATCTCCTGAAGGAAGTAAGAGACACAGAGAAGTGGGTCAGACTCACATCATTGATCTCAAGCTTTTAGATCAACACCATGAGCTCTAAAAGCCCCGCTCAGAACAGTATCTATTTTTACACCAGTATTTTTATCTGCATTCCCCACCTGTCTGTCACTCTCTTTCTCTCTCTGCCTCAGAGTCCCAGCAGACCCAGCTCACTCTGTTTGCTTTCACACATTGTCTGAGTCACTCTGACAGCGGCTGATCCAGTGTCTGGTTCTCAGGATTGTAGGAGGGGGTGTCATGGTGATGTGATCCTGCATTGAGATCCTGCATAGACTGAAATACTAATTTGCCAATGCCAATGTCATGGGATTTAATGCCCAGAGAACACATATGATAAATGTGTAGCTTGAAGGCTTTGTACGTTTCTTCAGATACAAGCATATGCCAGATTAATAAGTCATCACCCACTAAACCTGTTTGTCACCTGCTTCGTGTAAACATGTGGTTTATTTTGTAATATCATGAAAAAGCCAGCAGGTGGCAGGCCATACCTGACCACAAGAGTATGACCACAATAGCTATTAGACCAGGGATAAGCAGTTCTGGTCCTGGAGAGCCTCTGTCCTGGAGAGTTTAGCTTTATCCCTAATCAAACACACTTGAAAAATCCTCTAGGATTGGAATCGTCCACCCCTGTATTAGATATTTTAGTTAATGGGTCTCTAGTGGGCACGCATCCCTATTATTATTGCATACGTAGTGGGTTTCTCATGCACACTGCTCCTCCACCCTGCTATGGATAAAACATAGTCTTATCTAGAGACCAAGACTGTTAAGACTGTGTCTAAAAGGGTTAGTTCACCCAAAAATGAAAATTAGGTTTTACTCAGCCCCAAGGCATCCTAGGTGTATATGACTTTCTTCTTTCAGACGAATACAGTCGGAGTTATATAAAAAATTGTCTTTGATCTTTCAAGCTGTTTATTCCACTCAGCGGGTGTTGCATTGCTTCAGTCCAAAAGAACTTAAATAAAAATCGATTTGACAGATGACAGATTAGTTGTAAGACTAGTCCAAGCATTTTGCAACCGGCCACAGAGATAAAGACTTGTTTTTTTGTTTTTTTTTGGACGTGGGCCAGTAACAACCACCCAGAACACTTTGTCACTGCATGGCAACATGCTGTAAACCACCTATAACACCTTAAAAACTGCATGACATGCTATCAGTCACCCAGAACACCTCAGCAGCCGCATAGTTCCCTTTCAGTCGGTCACTCCGAGTCACGTCAGTGACCGACGAATTGGGATCTTGCTTCGAGAGACCAGTCTACTTCGAGTGTAAACTAAACGAGCCAATGTACATTGGCATGCGATGATTGCATCCAGCTGCCGCTGATCGCAGCGCGAGTATAATTAGGCAGCGGGTGCAACGCATACTCAGCTTTTCGCTGCAGAGCTGAGCGGTTCTATTGTTCTGCTCTGCCTTTTCGTCTGAGAGGAATTCTGACGAGTCAACGAGCGTTCTGGGGAAGAGGCTTCTTCAACGCCTGGTGTTGGTGTGACAGCGCTGCAGCGGTGGTTCCCCTTTGCGCTTCAGCACTTCTGAAAGAGCTAATTTCCCTAAAAGAGCAAGACAGGGATGTGACATTGCGTCTTTTTAAAGATGTCATTCCACCTGTATGTTTCTAGATGTGGTCGTTACCTGGCGCCGGATGACAGTCACAATCACTGCATCTCGTGTTTGTGCCTTGAACATGCTGAGGCAGCCTTTGTGGATGAGTCATGCCGTCATTGTGGCGGTATGACCATCGCGACGCTGCGGCTGAACACATCAAAGCAGGTGGAGTCCCCTTACCTATGCCCCGATCTAGTCGCTTTTCTGTTCTGTAGAAGAGGGTTACTTCGGTGAATAGTCAGGGTAGCCTGAGGGTTACAGTGGAGGTAAACCCGCCGAGGGAATCTCCGTGGGCCCCCAACTCCTCT